TTTTTTTCCATTTATTTTTATTAGTTGGAGGCTAATTACCTTACAATATTGAGGGGAGGGATCAAGATGGTGGTGTAAGAGGACATGAAGCTCACCTACCTCCATAATAATATAAAAAATAAAAAGAACTTCTCAGACAAGCCAGAGCTAAAAGAATTCAACAGTACTAAGCCTAAAGTAAATGAAATGCTGAAGGGTCTTCTCTAAGTAGAGAAGAATCAAGAATATAAAGAAAAGAGAGAAGCATAATAGGAAAGACAAATATATAGAAATGATTGAAGATTAATAAAATAAGCCAGTATGTAGATTTAAAGAGATATAAACTTATAAAGACAATTATAAATACAATACACAGTAAAAAGGATAAGCATTAAGATATAAATAAGACATCAAAAAATGTAGAGGGAAGTACAAAAATGTAGATCTTTTAGAATGTTGTTTAACTTAAATGAATCTAGGTTACAGAAAGAAATATAGTGATGAACCTCATGAACTTCTTGGTAACCACAAATCAAAAATAAACAACAGATTCACAAAAACTAAAAAGAGAGAAAGCATACTAAAAAATAAAATCATAAAACTATAAAAGGAAAAACAAAAAGAAGAAGAAATGAAAAGGAAGAACTACAAAAACAATCAGAAAACAAAAATTAAGATGGTCATAAGTACATGCTATCAATAATTACTTTAAATGTCAACATACTAAATAGTCAGATCAAAAGTCAAAGTGGCAAAGCTGGTGCACTGGGACAACTCAGAGGGATGGGATGGGGAGGGAGGTGGGAAGGGGGTTCTGAATGGGGGAACACATGTACATCCATGGCAAATTCATGTCAATATATGGCAAAAACCTCCACAATATTGTAAAGTAATTATCCTCCAACTAATATAAATAAATGAAAAAATACAATAAAAGGAAAAAAGAATACACTAAAAAAATAAAGTTATTATAAAATAAAATAAAATACACACAGTAGAGAACATGGCCTCAGGGAATGGGTGTGGTGCTTACAGCAGAACAGAAGAAAATATAAAATAAAATAAAATATACACACCCAATATAGGAGCACTTATATATATAAATACTAATAGACATAAAGGGAGAAAGTGACAATAATGCAGAAATTGTAGGATACTGTAAACCCCTCTGACATCAGTGGAGAGAATATCCAGAAAGAAAAGCAATAAAGCAAAAGAGGTCCTAAATGACACAATGTTGGACTTACTTGATATCTAATGGATGCTACATCCAAAACAAAAACAAAGAAACAAAACAAAATACACATTCTTTAAATTGTGCATAGAACGTTCTCCAGAACAGACTACATTCTAGGTAACCAAATGAGTGTCAACAAATTTAAGAAGATAGAAATTATATCAAGCATATTTTCTGACCACGATGTTATGAAGCTAGAAATCAATTTCAGGAAAAGAAAAAAACAGGGAAGAATGAATACGTGAAGACTATACAACATACTACTAAAAACCCAATGAGTTAATGATCAAATCAATGAGGTGACCCAGTGAGCTAATGATGCAAAAAAGCCAATTCTAAGATGGAAGTTTAGAGCTATACATGCCTTCACCGAGGAACAAGAAAAATCTTAGATAAAAGACCTAATGGACTATCTAAAATAATCAGAAAAAAGAAGCCCAAAGTCAGCAGAAGAAGGAAATAATAAAGATCACTGAGGAGATAAATAAATGAGAGCTTTAAAAATCAGTGGTAAAAAAAGTCTACAAGCAATAAATGCTGGAGAGGGTGTGGAGAAAAGGGAACCCTCTTACACTGTTGGTGGGAATGCAAACTAGNAAAAAGGATCATTTACTATGATCAAATTGGATTTATTTCAGGGTCACAAGAAAGACCAAAAAAAATCACATAATTACCTCAATGGACCAAGAAGACACATTTGACAAAATTCAACATTCATTCATTATAAAAACTTTCATCAAAGTGATTATAGGAGGAACATAACTCAACATAATAAAGGCTTCTTAACAAAACCACCTACAGCCGATGTAACGCTCAAAGGTAAAATGTTGAAAGACTTCTGGTAAATTCAGGAACAAGAAAAGGATGCCTACTTGCACCACTTCTATTTAACAAAATACTGAAACTCCTGTGCACAGCAATCAGACAAGGAAAAGAACTCAAATGTATCCAAGTGGGAAGGGAAGAGATAAAACTATCACTATTTGTAGATGACATGATACTCTACAGAAAACCCTAGTCACCACCAACAAACTGTTAGAGGTAATGAATGAAGTTAGGAAGGCTATAGGACACAAGATTAATGCAGAGACCTATTGCATTTCTATGCACTTAATGGAATATCTGGAAGAAAAGATAAAACACTATCATGTTGAAAATGGTATCGATATGCAAATAAAATGAAAAGTGGAAGTGTTAGTCACTCAGTCACCTCCAATCCTTTGCCACCCCATGGACTATAGCCTGCCAGGCTCCTCTGTCCATGGGATTCTCCAGGCAAGAGTACTGGAGTGGGTTGCCATGCCCTCCTCTAGGGGATCTTCCCAACCCAGGGATCAAATCCAGGTCTCACATGGCAGGCGGATTCTTTACCCAGTGAGTCACCTGAGAAGCCTATTCTATGTGCGAAAGTCACTCAGTCCTGTCCAACTCTTTGCCACCCCATGGTATAGTCTATGGAATTCTCCAGGCCAGAATATTGGAGTGGGTAGCCATTCCCTTCTATAGGGCATCTTCCCAACCCAGGGATTGAACCCAGGTTTCCTGCATTGCAGGTGAATTCTTTACCAGCTGAACCACCAGGGAAGCTCAAGAATACTGGAGTGGGTAGCCTATTCCTTCTCCAGCAGATCTTCCCGACCCAGGAATCAAACCGGGGTCTCCTGAATTGCAGGCAGATTCTCTACCTGCTGAGCTACCAGGGTAGCCCCATTCTACGTGTTTCTATAGCTTATTTCTTTTCACTGTTGAATACATGAAATGTATGTACATTGTTAATTTAACTGGTGAAGCCCAACAAGATGGTTCGAAGTTTTTATTTGTTTGTTCTTTATTGAGATATGACGGACATAAAAAATTGTATAAAGTTAAGATAAGGGGCTTCCCAGGTGGCGCTAGTGGTAAAGAGCCCCTGGACCACTGCAGGAGATAGAGGAGATGCAGGTTCGGTCCCTAGGATGGAAAGATGCCCTAGAGAAGGGCAAGACAACCCACTCCAGTATTCTTGGTTAGGAAATCCCAGGGACAGAGAAGCCTGGCGGGTTATACTCCATGGGGTCGCAAAGAATCAGACATGACTGAAGTGACTTAGCTCATACGCAAAAGATATACAGTGGGGGCTTCCCTGGTGGCTTAGCGGTAAAGAATCTGCCACCAATGCAGGAGACTGGTGGGTTCGATCCCTGGGTAGGGAAGACCCTCTGGCGAAGAAAATGGCAACCAACTCCAGTATTCTTGCCTGGGAAATCCATGACAGAGTGGCCTGGTGGGCTATAGTCCATGAGGTTGCAAAGATTTGGACATGACTGAGCAACTAAACAAGATAAGCAGCAGTGCTGATTTGATACATTTGTATACTTCAATATGATTATTATTATAGTGTTAGCTATAAGCTAACACTCTAATCTTGCCACAAAATTATCATTTCTTTTTTGTGTGGAGAATAATTAAGATCCAGACTAATAACTTTTGAAATTTGCAATATAGTATTGTTGACTATGGACTTTCCTGGTAGCTCAGATGGGAAAGAATCTGCCTGCAATGCAGGTGACCCAGGATTGATCCCTTGTTTGGGAAGATCACGTGGAGAAGGAAATGGCAACCCACTCCAGCGTTCTTGCCAGAAGACTTCCATGGACAGAGGAGCCTGGCAAGCTACAGTCCATGGGATTGCAAAGTGCCAGACACAACTGAGCAACTAACACACACACACACACACAAATACACACATACACACACCTACATTGTTGACTATAATCACAAATTATGCATTACATCTTATCTACCAGTTGCAAATCTGTACCATTAAACATTTCCCCAATTCCCCAATCTCCCAGCTCCTGATAACCACCATCCTATTTATACCATCTTACACAGATTTAACTTTTTTACATTTGACGTCTAGCTTATTTACAGTATCTATTATTCTCTGTCTGATTTATCTTACTTAACACAGTGCTGTCAAGGTCTATTCATGTTTTCACAAATAACATTTCTATTTTTCTCATGACTGAATAATATCCCATTGTTTAAACTTACACTATGTTTTTAACCATTCACTTTCAGATGGACACTTATGTTTCTTCTTGGTTATTGTAAAAAATAATCATGGGAGTACAAATATCTTTTCATTTTCCTGTTTTCATTCCTTTTGCATATAAAATAAGAAATAGGATTGCTGGATTATGTGCTATTTAAAAAAATTTTGTGGAATTCTTATGCTGTTTTCCATAGTGACTGAACCAATTCATATTAGCATCAAGTATTGCCTTTACTCCACATATTAACGTCCCTGGTGGCTCAGTAATAAAGAATCCGCCTGCAATGCAGAAGAGGGAGGCTTGATCCTTAGGTAGAGAAGATCCCCTGGAGAAGGAAATGGCAACCCACTCCAGTATTCTTGCCTGGAAAATTCCAAGGACAGAGGATCCTGGCAAGATGTAGCCCATGGCATCATAAAAGTGTCAGACAAGACTCAGCAACTAAATAACAATCATAATCACATCTCACCAACACTTATTATCTCTTGTCTTCTTGACGCTAGCTGTCACTGAGAAATTAATCAATAGTCAATCCAAAGGAGAAATAGAGAATTTTATTTGAACCAGGCTGAGGATTGTAATCCAGGAGACAGCCTTTCGGAAAACTCTGAGGACTGTTCTATTTGTTAGAAGTTAAAGACACAGTCATATATATTTTTGAGACAAAGAAAGTTTCGTCACAAATGACACATTGGCATCTTGCATCAAGTTCACCAAAGACACATAGTCCAGATCTGCACACGCCAAGCAAGCAGCAGGTTGCCATTACTTGTTACAGTTGAGCTAACAGTCTCATCCTTTAGGAGCTCTGATGAACGTATAATGCAGATACACATTGCACATGAAGGAGGGATTGGTACGAGCAGGGAATATGTCATGCTTAAAGTTTCTTGTCCTGCTTTAAAGTATAAATTTTATTCCATCATAGCCATTCTAAGAGGTGTGAGGCAATTCTCCATTGTAGTTTTGATTTTCCTTTCCATGATGATCAGTGATGTTGAGCAACTGTCCAAAATCTGATGGCCATTTGTATGTCTTCTTTAGGAAAATGTCTATTAGGGTTCCTTGTCTATTTTTTAAATTGGGTTACTTAGTATTTTGTTATTGAATTGTAGGAGTTACTTATAAATTTTGGATATTAACCCTTTTTCAGATATCTAACTTGGCAGTATTTTCAAATCCATACTATGTAATACTTTATGGAAATAAAAAGGAATGAAATACCGATACAAACAAAAACAGGTATGAATTTCAAGTACAATATACCAAGCAAGTGTCAATACAACAAAAAGTATAAATCTGTAATAAACTTATTGTGATATTCTAGGAGAAACATAGTTAACACCTAGTGAAATACACAGTGGAAGAGGATTGAAGGCTAAGGGACAATCCTGACTGAGGAATGAGCACAAAAGTAATTTCTGGGTGATGGAATTAATCTCCCTGTTGATTGGATTGCGTTTGACCCTGGTATATGAATTTATGCAAATACACTGAATTTTGGCCTTGGGATTTGTACTTTTTACCCTGTGTAAATTATACCAAAAATAAGGGAACCATAGATGACAACAAGATAAGACAGCACCAGGCAGAGCTCACATGGGGTCACAGAGTCAGACATGACTTAGCCACCAAATAACAATAACAACAGGCCCTCTCAGCCCCTTGCCCTCTTGGCTTGTGATTGGAGTGGCAGCTCTGAAGATCTCTGAATTGCCTTCACAGTCATTCTTCCATGACCTTGAAGAATAGCTTTGCTTCTGTTGAGATGGCTGATCCATAACAATTTCCTTATCAAGCAGTCACTTGGTCATCCCCTTATAATATTTTAAATTATGTATGCTTACTTTTTAAAAACATGAACATAAAAAATCACAAAGAAAAAGTAATCACTTAAAATTTGACCACTTAAAGTTCACCATTGTTACCATTTCAATGGATGTATTTCCAAAAAGAACATAATTTTCTATTTGCCAGTGATTTATGACATCAAAAGTATCATGCACTAAGACATATTGGTGTCTGCTTCTGGATTTCTTTTGATGTCCAGTTGTTTATGCTATAATGCTCTGACTTTTGAAAATTTATTTAGAGTTCATCACATGGTGCTCCTTACATGAACCTGCCATGGTATTCCTCTGTTTCTGAATCATGTTGTCTATTAATAATTTATTGATAAATTTGAATCTTTTTTGACTCCTTCCCCCCAAAATGGGATTGTTCATGGAATTACATATTCTCATTTATTATATGTTTAATTACCAATTAATGCAATAATTGTAAATGAGATGTATTTTTCAAGTGTATTTTCTTGCCATTTTGTAGATATAAAGGAGATATCTACTCCTGGAGACATTTTTTCTTCATGTTTTTTTCTTCCTCACCAGCAAGGCCATGAAGAGCCTTAAAATTTTGTCACTTTTATGTAAGAATCTTTTTCATTTATTTTTCTTGAGAATTTTTGCCTGAAAAACCAAAGGAGAAACAACAAATTAACCAAACTGATCAGAAAATAAGAATAGACATTATGAAAGAGAGAAAATAAGTTTGGATGCCCTCCTTGTACAAATGCAAACTGATCCCTAAGCATCAGCTCCTTTCCTTGTTGCTGTTGAGTCACTAAGTCACAGATCCCTTACTGCTGGATCAGGGTGGCTCAGTGGTGACTCAGTGGTAAAGAACTCTCCTGCCAATGCAAGAGACACAGGTTTGATCCCTGGGTCAGAAGGAGCCCCTGGAGAAGGGAATGGCAGTCCACTCCAATATTCTTGCCTGGAAAATTCCATGGACAGAGGAGCCTCGTGGGCTACAGTCCATGAGGTCCCAAAAGAACCAGACATGACTTGGTGATTGAATGACACCAACTGTGCAGGCACAAGGAAGCACTTGAAAGTGCTACTCACACTTGGTCTTTTTGGATTCTCACCTTGTCATTTGGATCTCTGGCCAATGACACCTCTGATAAGTCAAGAACTGGGTTAAAAATCTAAAGGAATTCCCCACTTGTTATAGGTTCAATTGTGTACCTTCCAAAGTATATATATATTGAAGTCTTAACCATCTACCTCAGAATATGCAATTATCATATTTGAGAACAGGGTTGTTGCTGATTAATTAAGATGAGGTCAAACTGGAGTAGAAAGAGCCCCTGATCCAATATGATGATGTTCTTATAAAATGGGGGAACTTGAGACATAGAGACATGCCAGGGGGATGTGATGTGAAGATTGGAGCTATTTTCCACTAGCCAAGGAACTACCAGAATCCGGAGAGACCTGGACCAGACCCTTCTCTAGAGCCTTCAGAGGATGTAGAGTCCTGCCAACAACTTGAGCTGACTTTCAGCCACCTGAAATTTGAGACAGTAAATTTATTTTGCTTAAGTCACTCAGTTTGTCAGATTCCACTGTAGAAGCCCTATGAAACTAAGACACAATGTTGTAGTTTTAAAATGCCTTTTCCAGTTTCTTATTATCCTCAATCTTTGCATAACTGAATCTTACAGCCACATGCAAACAAATAACTTTTTTTTTTTACTACCTTCCTACAGAAAGTCCTTAACTAAATGTGATTTTCCTAACAGTGCTCCTTCACTGGTCATCCCATTTCCCCTCTATCCCAAGCTCTTATGGATCTTAGGAGCATGATCCCAATATGAATGTGTGTTTCTCATGAGGACAGGTAGTATGCAAAATCATAACAGAGCTAATTACCATCACGTCAGCACTAAAACTGCCAATGAGAACAGGGCAGAGGGGATCTCTGCAGTCCAGACTAGAATTCACAATGGATGGAGACGACCTTGCCTCTCATGAAGGCAATGGCTCAAGACGGGAGTATCCCAGGCAAGGCTCCGTCTCCCCAGTGATCTGAGGGACCCACGCGGTGTGTTGACTTTCTCACCCACAGATCCGAAGCACACAGTCCCTCCCAGGGGATAGTAGAAGGTTTACTCACCTATTTTCCACATCCTGGATGGTGTCAGGAATGGGCAGAGTTTTGGTTTCAGGTAGGAGAAGAATGAGAAGGCCAGCAGCGATGGGAAAGGCTCCATAGATGATCCAGGGCAGGGTGGGTAGATACACCACTAGGGTCATCAAGAGGGGAGCCAGGGTTGCCCCACACCTACTAACTAGCATATCTAATCCTGCAGCATTTGCCCTGAAGGAGTAAATGACATGATGTAGCAATTCAGTAAATGTCTGCACATAAAATCTGTGAGATATTATTCTGACTGGGTTATGAAATGCAACAAAACACAATTACTATATTCATAGTCATGAGCTTGATGATAAACCCTTGTTACTGAGATTTGCTCCCTGGTTTTCTAGCTGTCTTTGTCAAAGTGTATTGATACATTTTCATCATTTTATATGGAATGTTACACATTGCACCTATAGTAATAAGAGATCCAAAAGATTAGTGAGGAGATACATTGAATTACTGCTCAGAACAATACACAGAACAAAGTCAGGTTTTTCAATTAACTTTGGCTATAGTTGCTACTGATATATTATTACTATTACAAATGATTAATTTATAACTTAAAGATCTTACTGTGTTCATTCCTGAAATAAGCATCTGTTAGTTGGGAAAGTCATACTTTGGATCCTGGCAGAGCATCCATAAACTCTTACCTGAGGAGACTGGGGATGAGTTCAGCAGAGTGGACAGAAAGAGCGGACCCAGACGCAGCAACACAGCCAATACCCACACTTGCCAAGGCCACACGCAGGGTCTGCATTTCTGGAGACAGGAAAACCAGCAACACTAAGAAATCTGGGCTGGAGGAATTGGCACCCACCAAATTTACTCAGGAAAAAAAGAAAACTATGGTTTACTGATAGGTTTGAAATATACCATAGAATATATATATATCTATATATGTTGATAAACTGAGAAATGTAAAATCATCAATATATGTGGTAAAATTACATAAAATTATCCAGATTAATTGCAACAAATCCATCTGCATACCTGAGGTTTGCAAGAAAAAAAAAAAAGGAAAGAGTGTGGCAGAAATTTGCTTTCACTAATTTGGTCCAGTATTTGCAATATCCTTATTGTTGAAGTTAAGACTGTGATGTGGACAATTACTGAGTCTAATGTTTAGCTCCAATCTTGAGAAGTTTACAATTAAAGTGCAGGTTTTAAAGTGACCAGTCATCCTGGTTTTTCTGGGAATTTGAAGATTTTTGATAATGTGAGGTTTTCATTGATAAAATCAGAAAAGTCCCAGGTAAACTCAAGAAAGTCAATCAACCTAGTGTAGATAGAACATTGCCTTGGGGGTAAGCATGACACCAGAGAGTAACAGGACAGTACTACTCTATTAGTGGACAGACTGAGGAGAATCTAGATCTACATCAATGTTAGACATGAAGAACCTAAAATCAAAGCCTCCAGTTGGGAAAAATTGTCAGAATTAGGGAACAATTAAGAAAATTTAGGGGAATCAGTTTTATGCACAGTATAAAAAGAAACATAATTATAACTGGGTAATATTGCAAAGAACTCCATGGTAAAGCAGTATTATTAATGCATTATTGATGATCTTCTGAGGAGCAATAAAAATACCTATCTGTAATGCTGTGAGTCACATTCATGCATTGGAGACGGTGAAGCAAATCGCCCACTAAGTTTCTTCTAATTATTACATATTATTATTCTATTAACTTATATAGTAATCTGATAGGGAATGGACCAGGAGTTTTCTCAGCTTCAATTCTTGTTTCTACTTCACCCTCTTTCCCCACTTGAAAAAGAGGATTCTTTTTTCACTTCCTGGGAGACTTTCTTCAGCAAGAACTATAGTCATAGTGACTCAAGCTCACAGTCATATGCAGATACATAAAAATGGGGAAGTAGACCAGTCATCAAAGATGGTAATGAAGAGCCCAAACAGAGGGCGTGGCCATAGTATGCTCTCGTGTGGGATATAATTGCAAGGCTTCATCCCTTTCACTTGTTATTTAATGTGTGAATGGGAAAATCACAAGTGAATGATTGCTGTCCTAGAGAGACTACCTGGAATGAATGGGACCATTTTCCAGACGTTTCCACTATGTGATGAAAGTAAATATATGTTTGAGCTGCCCCTTACTGATCTTTAGCTCTTTTCTCAAAAACTTATTAGCAGAATTTTTTATCAGTTTGGTTTGGGGGAATACTTAACCTTTCATTAGGACCTCTTTTTACTCCTGGCTTTAGACAAGTATGACCAAAAAAACCTTGAAGAATGAGAAAAAGACCCTTCCTTTCCCCAAAGTCCAGTCTTCTCTCACCTTGGGGCACAAATGTGTTGACCAAAATGGAAGTCCCCACCAGGAACATGAGAAACATCTGGGTTGGTCGGCGGCCCATATGATTCAGGGGTAAGACAGCAAGACTTCGGACTGAGACAGTGAGAGCTCCAAAGATTACCTGGAACAGGAAAATATTGCTCCCAAAGTGCTGTAGATTCATAAAGATGCCAAAATAGGGTATTGTGGTCGCAAATCTGTAGTGAAAAAAAAAAAAAGAGAAAGACGTAAGCCATAAGACTTACAGCAAAGGTACTATAATTGATTATTATATTCACCCAGGCAGCCAATGATCAAAGTTAAACAATAAAGGCCCTATCTGACTTACATACTTCTTCATTTTAAGGTGAAAAGTCACCATAAAAATTACATGACTGTATATGAAAACAACACTTTTTCTGACATTCTTTTGTCTGATTTATTAAACACAAATATGACAACAACAGGAAACAACATGACTCAGTCTCCAAACAGGATGGTATGTAATATTTGACAATAAAAGCATTAATAGTAAAACTTAGAAATTAGGGAAATAATTTCTTTTTGAGGGTTGTCTATATGCTGTGGGTCCTCCCTCTCCTCGCCCAATCCTAATACTGTAAAGAATTTCTATTTTCTCAACTAGTGGTTGAAACTGGAAAATGCTGTCTGTGTCCCCTTGACTTGACAGCATAGCGTCCTGGGGATTAACACAGTTCTACAAAATTTAAAGTTCATTCCTGATTTTTTGGGGCTAAGAGACAGTGTAAGAATACAGGAAAGCAAACATACACCAACAGTAACATCAGAAATGGAATCAAAGGATCTCACTTCAGATCTTACCAAGAAAACATTTAAAGGAAAGAAGCCCACTTTAATGATCTACTATACCTAGAGAGAGCTAGACTTAGTACAACTGCTGCTGCTGCCAAGCCAGTTCAACTGCATCCAACTCTGTGCGACCCCATAGACGGCAGCCCACCAGGCTTCCCCATCCCTGCGGTTCTCCAGGCAAAAGCACTGGAGTGTTGCCATTTCCTTCTCCAATGCATGAAAGTGAAAAGTGAAAGTGAAGTGGCTCAGTCATGTCCAGCTCTTAGTGACCCCATGGACCACAGCCTACCAGGTTCCTCCATCTCTGGGATTTTCCAGGCAAGAGTACTGGAGTGGGTTGCCATTGCCTTCTCCTAGACTTAGACATTAAAATAGAAGAAACATCACAAATCGCAGTATTCCAAGAAAGGTGCCTGATGACTATCATCTTTACTTTTTCCTTCCACTCTGATTTTCTAGGATTTAGAAACACAAGTCTATGTCTTAGTGAATATGGAAAAGTAGAAAATGCATGTGTTGTGAACTTAGTTGCTCAGTCATGTCAGACTGTGTGTGACCCCATGGACTGTAGCCCACCAGGCTCCTCTGTCCTGGGGATTCTCCAGGCAAGAACACTGGAGAGGGTTGCCATGCCCTCTTCCAGGGGATCTTCCCAACCCAGGTCTCCCAAACTGCAGGCAGATTCTTTACCATCTGAGCCACCAGGGAAGCCCCCCCAAAAAGGGAGGCACTAATTTCCATGTGAGTATTATTTGGTGTGTTTTCCTCATCTTCTAGCTTCCATTCAGTGCCTCAGTGCTTCTTCATTATGAAAAAGCATAATGAAGTGCAGAAATGGTTTACTAGGATATGCCTGGGAAGAGATCAATTATGAAATGCAACAGTCACTTACTTAAGCTTGTCAGTGAGTCTATGTTGTCCTGTATGCTTCTTGTGCATGAGCATTCAGTATTCAAAAACTAAGAATTATATTTAAAATGTCTCCTCCTGACTCTACCAAAGTAAGTACTTATATCCCCTCAAGGGACAATGACCAAGATCTCCTTACAGAAGCCCTTGTGCTAACACACAAATAAAATGTATCCAAACTGGAAACAAATAGAAGTCCACCAACATTGAAGTACATAAAGAAATTGTAGTGTATTCATCTAATGAAAACTGAAGCACTAGGGAGGAGAACCACCCAATGGTACATGCAGCAGAATGGGTGAATCTTCAAGAATGATCATGAGAAAAGGGGGCCTGTCACAGAATCCTTGTATCATTTACATTATGTGAAGGTCAAGATCAGGCAAGACTCTTCTGAAGTGAAAGAGGTCAGAGCAGTTGGACAGGTGAGGGCCATGAGGAGAGAAAAAGAATGAGGCAGTGGTGGAGGTGGTGGTGTTCATTACTGTACAGGATATGTGAGGGGAATCCTGGGTGTCAGGATTTTCCTGCTTTGATCTGGAGGATGCTACATTTTTACATATTGAAGTATTCATTGATCTGTAGATATTCATAATATCTTCATGTATCTATTGGCAAAAATTGCTTCAATTAAAATTTAAGGAAAAAATAAACCCCCAAATCCACACTGTGACAGAAATTCTCAATGTAAACCTTCACTGAAGAGACTGACAGAATGATATAACCAACTCTACTTCATATGCTAATTTCTGTGGCAGTATTATTTGGTGTGTTTTCCTCATCTCTTATTTTCAAATCAGTGCCTCCCTCTCACAACACTGTTGTAATTAATGAAATAGCTTCATGTCCCCACTCTTTGAATGTCTCTATGTAAAGCTATGTTTTATCCAGTAGTCGTGTATGGATGTGAGAGTTGGATCATAAAGAAGACTGACTGCCAAAGAATTGATGCTTTCAAAGTGTGGTGCTGGAGAAGACTTTTGAGAGTTCCTTGGACAGCAAGGAGATCAAATCAGTCGATAATAAAGGAAGTCAGTCCCAAATATTCATTGGAAGGACTACTGCTGAAGCTGAAGCTCCAATATTTTGGCCAGCTGATGTGAAGAGCCAGCTTGTTTGAAAAGACTCCGATGTTTGTTGGAAAAGATTGAAAGCAAAAGGACAAGGGGACTGCAGAGGATGAGATGGTTAGATAACATCACCAACTCAGTGGACATGAGTTTAAGCAAACTCCAGGAGATAGTGGAGGACAGAGGAACCTGGCATGCTATAGTCCCTAGGGTCACAAAGAGTTGGACATGACTTAGCAACTGAACAATAGCATCAACCACATGCATTGTGTAAAGCCTACCTCACAAAGGAGAGAAGACAGGCGCTTTTACGCAGGTTGGGTGTGCGGAACAAGTCAAACACAGTAGGTTTGGTCTGTGCTGCCTCCAGCTCCTCCTGCATGGTCGCTTTCAAGCCCTTCAACAACAAATACACATCACTTGCTGACATAGTGCCAGGTATTGTGATGAATACTGGCATCCAATAGGGTAGGAGAGATACATTCTCTTTCTTTGTGTACAACAGATGACACATGCAATCACTTGTGTGAACGTGATATGAAGGAGGATCTAGGGAGTTAAGGGAGACTCCAGGAAATTACACAGCAACAAAGATTTTTTTTTAAATGAGGCCATGGCAGAGGGAAGTGGGCAGGGTATCCATGAGAGCACATAGGCTGCAGGTTCAAATCAGGAGATGAACTAAAAGAAGAAGTCTTGCACAGTGTTCAAAGCTCCTTTTGTAAGAAATAGGCATGAAAGACCAGGAAATTGAGCTTGCATTCTCAATTAGATGGCCTTGTTAGAAAAGCAGTTTGTCTATCTCAGTGAGGAGGAGGCAGGTATTAGTTCACGACCTCCCTCCAACCCAGTAACCACCTTGCCTTTCCAGCTTACCTCCATACTCAGGATTTCTTCAGCGTTCTTTATTCCATTTCTGTGTGCAACTTTTCTAAGTTCCTTTAAGCCCTCGTCTGGTTTATTGGTGACAATCAGCCACCGCGAAGATTCCACCAGCCACCTGATGAGAGAAAGCAGACAGGTATAGTCAACCCTTCTTCGCTTATTTGCTATTTGATTATTGACCACATGTTTTATGTCTCCCACCTACTATCCACAACATCAACTAGATGTTCATGTTGTGTTAAACTAATTCTGGGAAAATATGAGAGTGACAACTCCATGCCAGGATGACAGACTTGGAGACAAATTGCCTTTATGCTTATTCAGCAGGAGTTTTTCCTAGAAGTTGATGAAGGTTAAACTGGAGAGTGCATCACATACATAATTCCCTGTCAAAGCCTGACATGGGATCTAGCAACTTTGTGCACATAATATGTATTCTTTAAAAAAAAAAAAAAAAGATGTCGAGGGAGGAGCCAAGATGGCAGAGGAATAGGACGGGGAGCTACGGACGGAGACCCGTCCCGGGAAGGGAGTCTTAATAGAGGAAGTTTCCAACCACCAGGAAACCCTCGCACTGGCGGGTCTGGGGGAAGTTTTCAAATCTTGGAGGGCAACTTAACTGGGAGGAAAAATTAAATAAGGCCCACAGATTACGTGCCTAAAAGCAACTCCCAGCAGAAAAGTACCCCAGACGCCCGCACCCGCCACCANTAAGGAAAATAATTTTCAAATAACTTTACTACCTCTATACTAATAAGAGGTACAAAGAAGGATGCCAAGAAAGTACCTAAAACCCGCTAGCCAAAAGTTCGTTGTTATTCCTTATTCTTTCCTCCAGTCAGTTTTCATTCCAATCCCAAAGAAGGGCAGTGTCAAAGAATGTTCAAACTACCATATGATTACACTCATTTCACATGCTAGCAAGGTAATGCTCAAAGTCCTTCAACCTAGGCTTCAACAGTACATGAATTGAGAACTTAGAAATGTATTTACAAGTTGGGTTTAGAAAAGGCAGAGGAAGCAGAGATCAAATTGGCAACATCCACTGGATCATAGAAAAAGCAAGGGAGTTCCAGAAAAACATCTATTTCTGCTTCATTTATGCTAAAGTCTTTGACTGTGGATCACAACAAACTGCGGAAATTTTTTAAAGAGATGGGAGTACCAGATCACCTTACCTGTCCCTGAACCTGTATGCAGATCAAGAAGCAACAATTAGAACTGGACATGGAACAATGGACTGATTCAAAATTGGGAAAGGAGTATGTCAAGGCTGTATATTGTCACCCTGCTTATTTAACTTATATGCTGAGTGCGTTGTGCATAATGCCAGGGTGGGTAAAGCACAAGTTGAAATCAAGATTGCCAGGAGAGATATCAAAACCTCACATATGCAGATGATACCACACTAAGGGCAGAAAGTGAAGAGGAACAAAAGAGCCTCTTGTTGAGGGTGAAAAAGGAAAGTGAAAAACCTGGCTTGAAACTCAACTTTCAAAAAACTCTTGGTATAGGGTTTGCTTAGGCGACACATGATGCCTGCCTTACTTTAAAGCTATTTACCACAGTTCTGTTAAATAGTGTGGAAGTCCTTTTGCAGCCTGATGTGCACGTCTTATGATCAGGATAGTTTCTCCACCTTACCTAGTTACCTACAAGCAGGTAGGAAATATAGTGGATTCACCCTAAAATGTCCAATCTGTATTGACGTATCTTATTAGTGTTTTGATGTTGGTTTTCTAAAACAATCTGATCAATAAATCTTACCTAGATCTTTCAAAAATACTAAAATCATGGCATCTTGTCCCATCACTTCATAACAAATAGAAGGGGGAAAAGTGGAAGCAGTGACAGATTTTATTTTCCTGGATTCCAAAATCACTGTTGACCTTTAACTGCAGCCATGAAATTAAAAGATACTAGCTACTTGAAAGGAAAGCTGTGACAAACCTAGATAGCATATTAAAAAGCAGAGACATCACTTTGCTGACAGAGGTCCATACAGTCAAAGTTATAGTTTTTCCAGTAATCAGGTGCCCATGTGAGAGTTGGACCATAAAGAAGGCTGAGCACCAAAGGAATTGATGCTTTTGAACCGTGGTGCTGGAGAAGACTCTTGAGAGTCCCTTGGACAGCAAGATCAAACAAGTCAATCCTAAAGGAAATCAACCCTAAATATTCATTGAAAGGACTGATGCTGAAGCCAAAGCTCCAAATCTTTGGCCACCTGATGTGGAGAAATGACTCATTGGAAAAGACTTGATACTCAGAAAGATTGAAGGCAAAAGGAGAAGGGGAAGGCAGAGGATAAGATGGTTAGATAGCATCACTGAGTCAATAGACATGAATTGGAGGAAACCCTGGAAGTCAGTGGAAGGCAAAGGATCCTAGCATGCTACAGTCTTTGAGGCTGCAGAGTCAGATGTGACTTAGCAAGTGAATGACAACAACAAAGCTGCTCCTGGAATCTCAAAGTGTATAGAATGAACAGATGAGAAACATGGGTTTTATATCCAAACAATAAGAAAGGGCCCAGGGAATAAGGAAGTCAGTATACTGCAGTTCAATATGCATTTTCACCCCAGTTCCCTTAAGTCAGAATGAGAGAGAAGATTTTACCTTGAGGACAGAAAGAAAACAAAGAAAGGTACAGACACCACCAGCTGCAGGGTGCGCCACTCTCGAAAGATAAAAGCCAGTCCTCCCAGCATCATCTGTCCAATACTAAGGGCACAGGACACCAGTGTTATTACCATGGCTTTTGACTGGGATCTGGTCCACTCTATAACTGAAAGAAACACAATTGAGGTAGTAATGTTAGATGAAGAAATTTCAAGATCAAATTTAAGGTTTGGAAAATGGAAGAGATCGAAATTGTCAACTTACTGAGCATACTGTTATTTGATATGATGACCACAGCAGAACAGCCTGACCAGAAGCGTAGGGAGCAGTAAATGAGGAAGGTGGGGGCAAAGGCCACACAGGTCCCAGAGATGGCGAACTGGAGCAAACAGCACCTGAGAATCAACTTCCGCCCAAACCTAAGAAACAGAAGGCAGTTAGAATATGAAAGCAATGATAATTTGGGGGAAAACATTAAGAAAGCAAAACCATACACTGAAATGTAAAGAATGCTTTAACAAATGATTCTTTGTACCTGAACGCTTGAAAAATCAAGAGCTAAATCAACAATGGAAATCTCCTCAAATAACATTCCTTGTCTACACTGTACACTAGCAATACCAAAACTTCATACTCCAATCACCAATGGACTCTGTCATCTAGCATACAAAGAGAACAACAGTGTTGGAAATTGTAACATACTGTAGGCACATATTTCACTAACTTACATATTTAACAAACTAGATAGTCTATCCAGTGTGTAGACCACAAAAGAGCTAAAAGTGTACTTGGGTCTCTAGGATCAGACAGATCAAGGCTACACTGATACAAAAGATTAGTGGGGAATGCAACGAAGTTGTAGGAGGTTTATGTAAGGATCACTCTTTGTTGAATTTGGATTTATTGGTCTCAAGCAATATGCTTTTCTAGACAGAATGTAACAGCACTACAACACAGATAGAGGATATTATATAAATCTCTCAGAGAAAAGAACTATGTAAGATGGAGAATGAACAAGAAAAGATGAAGGACAAAAGAAGGAAAAATAAATTTTCTGTTTCATTGAGAGTCATGAAAACAGAGTCTTAGGGGAGACATCTAGGACTTAATAAGATGTGCAAATCTATATATCCAGTAATAAAAACAGATAAACATGTTTGGGATCAGGAATTTCTCTGCAATATTTAAATGGTATTCTTAAAGTATTCAAACAGTTCCTCTGAAAACAGAAAATGAGCAACATAGGAATAAACACATCAAATAATCATATATGTAATCATTATCATAAAGAAAATAATTTAGAAAACACAAAATGATTTGATAGACAAAAATTGTAGCAATCATATCAAACTAATTTCAATTGATAGAAATTACTAGAATGGATTTCTTTGAAAACTTAATTTTTTGCTTTTCCTGCATCACAGGCATATTCTTTACCATCTGAGCCACCAGGGAAGCCCATGCTTCCCACAATAGTACTTAAATTATTATAGGTTAAAACTAAATTGACAAAAAAGATATACAACACAAATAGTAATAATAATAAGCTGGAATATTTATATCAACATCAAATAAAATAAATTTCAAAGCAAAATACATTTCCAGAAATAATAATGCTAAAGATGTCAAATGTATCTCTTTTTAAAAAAAAAAAGATTTTCTTTGATATGGACCATCTTTTAAAGTCTTTAATTGAGTTTGTTAAAATATTGCTTCTGCTTTAGGTTTTGGTTTTTAGGCCTCAAAGTATATGGGATCTTAATTTCCTGACCCAGGGATCAAACTGACAACCCCTGAACTGGAAGGTGACATCTTAACCACTGGGCTGTCAGGGAAGTCCTTATGCTACTTTCCCATTAGTGCTCACTGAGAATCGTTCCATGTATGGATGTAGTTTTTTATGTGTTCAGGGTGGGAGGGTGAGCTACACATCCTCTTGAACTACCATCGCACTCATTTCTGATTTTTACTTCTTGTTATTCTGGTCATCCTAGTGTGTTTGAACTGGTTTCAATTCAGATTTTTGAAGCTGAAGTACACTTGATTTAATGTTGTGCTAGTTTCTGCTGTACATCAACGTGAGTCAGGTATACATATACATGCTGTCATTGTTCAGTTACTAAGTCGAATTCAACTCTGTGACCCCATGGACTGCAGCACACCAGGCTTTCCTGTCCTTCATTATCTCCCAGAATTTGCTCAAACTCATGTCCATTGAGTCACTGATGGCATCCAACCATCTCATCCTCTGTTACTCCCTTCTCCTCCTGCCCTCAATCTTTTCTAGCATGAAGATCTTTTCCAAAGAGTCAACTCTTCGCATCAGGTGGCCAGTGTTGGAGCTTCAGCTTCAGCATTAGTCCTTCCAATGAATATTTCCTTTAAGATTGACTGGTTTGACCTCCTTACTGTCCAAGGGGCTCTACTCTTTTCTAGACTCTTTTCCCACATAGGTCATTACAGAGTATGGGGGAGAGGTCCCTCTGCTATGTGTGTACAGGTGTGTTAGTCACTCAGTTGTGTCCAATTCTTTGCAACCCCATGGACTGTAGCCCACCAAGCTCCTCTGTCCGTGAGATTCTCCAGGCAAGAATACTGGAGTGGGTTGCCATTCCCTTATCCAACTCCCTCTGCTATACAGTAGGTCTTTCAGTTCAATTCAGTTCAGTCGCTCGGTCATGTCCAATTCCTTGTGACCCCATGGACCAGCGCATGCCAGGCCTCCCTGTCCATCACCAACTCCCAGAATTTACTCAAACTCATGCCCATTGAGTCCATGATGCCATCCAACCATCTCATCCTCTGTCATCCCCTTCTCCTCCTGCCTTCAACCTTTTCCAGCATNTGGTGTCATCTGCATATCTGAGGTTATTGACATTTCTCCTGGCAATCTTGATTCCAGCTTGTGCTTCATCCAGCCCAGCGTTTCTCATGATGTACTCTGCATATGTTAAATAAGTAGGGTGACAATATACAGCCTTGATGTACTCCTTTCCTATTTGGAACCAGTCTGTTGTTCCATGTCCAGTTCTAACTGTTGCTTCCTGACCTGCATACAGGTTTCTCAAGAGGCAGGTCAGGTGGACTGGTATTCCCATCTCTTTCAGAACTTTCCACAGATTATTGTGATCCACACAGTCAAAGGCTTTGGCATAGTCAATAAAGCAGAAATAGATGTTTTTTTTGGAACTCCCTTGTTTTTTTGATGAGTAGGTCTTTATTAATTATCTATTTTTTATATTGGGGTTTCAATATAGTTTTGATTGGCATGGCTTAATAAGTGATGCTGTTGTGCTTCTTTTCATGTGCTTCTTACAAGTTGTATATCTTCTTTGTAAACGAATGTTATCTATTCAAATCCTTTAGTAATTTGTCCACTTTATTGAGGTATAATTGACAAAAGCAAATAAATTGTATATATGTAAGATGTTCAGTGTGATGATTTGATATATGTATATTGGGAAGTGATCACTTAAACCAAGCTTATTAATATACCCATCATGTCACAGATACAATTTTTGTGTGTGAGAGAGCACTTATGATCTAGACTCGTGCAAGTTTTGAGTATACAGTAAATTATCATTAACTATACCTACTCACTTAAAAAGACGCTGATGCTGAGAAAGATGGAAGGCAGAAGGAAAAGGAGAGGCAAAGGATGAGATGGTTAGATAGCATCATCTACTCAGTGGACATGAATTTGAGCAAACTCCGGGAGACAGGAAGGATGTGGGAGCCAGGCATGTTGTAGTCCATGGGGTCGCAAAGAGTTGGACACGACTTAGGGACTGAAAAACAACAACTGTGCCATACACGACCAGGATATATTCATCTTGCAAGACTGAAACTTCATACCCTTTGACCAACATCTCCCCATTTCTCTCACCCCCAAAATCTTGACAATCACTTCTCTACCTTATCTTCCTCTGGTTCAAGTATTTCATAATCCGCATATAAGTTAGTCATGCAGTATGTGTCTTGTGTCTAGCTTATTCATGTAGTATAATAATACATTCATAGTATAATTATTTATTTGTGTTACTGCAATTGATAAGATTTCCAATGAATCACAGCCTTGTTATGGTGAAGGTGTTTATGTAGCTCAATGGAACTAGGAGCCACATCATGCAGGGCCACCAAAGACTGGTGGGTCATAGTAAAGAGTTCTGGCAAAACATGGTCCACTGGAGGAGGAAATGGCAAACCACTCCAGTATTCTTGTGGCAAGAACCCCATGAGCATTATGAAAACATAAAATGATATGACACCAGAAGACCAGCCCCCCAGGTCAGAAGATGTCCAATATGCTACTAGGAAAGAACGAGGGGCAATAACAAAGAGCTCCAGAAAGAATTAACTGGACAAAAGCTCAAATGAAGCTCAGTTGCGGATGTGTCTGGTGGTAAAAACAAAGTCCGATGCTCTAAAGAAAAATATAATATAGGAACCTGGAATGTTAGGTCCATGAATCAAGGTAAATTTGATGTGGTCAAACAGAAGATGGTATCAGTGAACTAAAATGGATGGAAATGGGGGAATTTAATTCAAATGGCCACTATATACACTACTGTGGACAAGAATCCCTTAGAAGATATGGAGTATATTTAAAGACTCCAAAATACAGTATGTGTGTGCAATTTCAAAAGCAATGAAATGACCTCAGTTGTTGCCAAAACAAACCATTCAACATCACAGTAATCCAAGTCTATGCCCTAACTACTGATACTGAAGAAACTGAAGTTGACTGGTTCTATGAAAACCTACAGCCTCTTGTAGAACAAACACAGAAAAAGATGTCCTTTCCATTATAGGGGATTGGAATGCAAATGTAGGAAGTCAAGAGATACCTGGAGTAACAGGCAAGTTTGGCCTTGGAGTACAAAATGAGGCAGGTAAAGGGCTAACAGAGTTTTGTCAAGAGAACACACTGGTCATAGCAAATACCTCATCAAGCATAATGCTGAATATTTTCAATTTTTTAGCCATCCATTGATATGATCCTTTATTCTGTTAATATGCTATATCATGTTGAGTGATTTGCATGTTTTGAACCATTCTTGCATGCTTGGGGTAAAAACCACTTGTTCATGGTATAAGATGCTTTTACTGTGTCATTGAATTTGGTTTATTAGTATTTTAATAAGNCAACGTGGATGGACCTGTATGCTTAGTGAAATGAGGGAGACAGAGAAAAACAAGTACTCTATCACTTATATGTGAAATAAAAAACTAATAGAAAAGAATGAATGTAACAATAAAGAAACAGTCTCACAGATACAGAAAACAAACTAGTATGGGATTAAAAGATATAAATATATCTTTTATGTATAAACGTGCCTTTATGTATAAAATAAATAAACCACAAGGATCTACTGTACAGCACAGAAAAATGTAACCATTAATTCATAATAACTTTAAATGGAGCATAATCTATAAAATACTGAAATATAATTTTGAGTACCTGAAGATAATATAATGCTACAAATCAACTATATTTAAATTTAAAAAGATAGGACCAGATGGTTTCACAGGTGAGTACTCCCACACATTCAAATGACAATTAACACCAATTCTTTTCAAACATTTCCAAAAAATTAAAGAGGAGGGTGTACTCTCAAACTCACAGGAAAAGACCACCATTTTCATGCTAGATAAGAACATTACAAGAAAACTAAAGACCAATATCTCTGCTAAATATAGATGCAAAAATTTCTTAACAAGACATTAGAAACCAAACTTAACAGCACACTAAAAGGATTATACACTATGATTAAGTGGGATTTATCCCTAGGATGCCTGGAGTTCAACATACACAATTCAATGTATGCAATATACAACATTAATAGAATGAAAAATAAAAATAATATGATCATCTCAAAAGATGCAGGAAAAGCCATTTGACATAATACAATATCTTTTTGTGATAAAAATACTCAATTAGGGATAGAAGAAATGCACATCAACATAATAAAGGTAATAGATGATGAGTCTTCAGATAATAGCATACTTAGTATGGACAGGTTGAAAGATTTTCCTCTCAGTTCAGGAGGGGAAAGGAGGTGCCAGCTCACCCCTCCTAGCAACATAATCCTGGAAGTCCTATAAGTGCTATGAGTCCTGGAAGAGCTATAAGGCAAGAAAAAAAAAAAAAGCATCCACTGGAAAGGAGGAATTATATTGACTTTGCATATGATATGAAATTCTTTATAGAAAATTCTGAAAACTTACAAAAATTTTTTCAATTCACTAAAAGTGGATTAAAGACTTAAACATTACCCCAAAACAGTAAAATTCCTGGAAGAAAGCAAAATGAAAATCTCCTTGACATTGATCTTGGCAACAATATCTTAGATATAATAGCCATCAGAAGCAGCATGAGGATATATCTCACCATTATTTTGATTTCTATTTCTCTGGTTATTAGTGATGTTAAGAGTCTTCTCATATACTGATTGACTATTTCTATATGTTCTTTGGAGAAATATCGACTGAGGTCCTTTGCCATTTTAAAAATCAGGATATTTGAGAGCTTTTATTTGTTGTAATAGTTTCTTTGGATATTAACTCTTTATCAGACATATGCCTTTCAAATATTTTGTCTTATTCTGTAGGTTTCCATTTCATCTTCCTGATCATTTTCTTTGCAATGGAGAAGTTTCTAGTTTGACATAACCCCACTTGTCTATTTTTGCTTTTGATACCAATGTCCAGAGCTTTTATCTATTTTTAGTTCAAAATCTTTGACTGAACTATAAGTTTCCTGCTTCTTCACTGAATTTTTTTCTCTCATCTTCATAACATACTGCCACACACTAACACACATATATCTATAAGCATCTCCACACATCAGTATTATCTAAATTAATCAATCAACTTTGGTTGTGAATCATCATAAAAGGCTTAGTTAGAAGACGGGCCAATATGAGCACTTTGGCTGTGAAATCTCTTATGAATTACACGGAGGTGATACATTCAGAGTTCACAATTTTCAGATGTAAGAGGAAATGATATTAGGCTTACAGACAAGCGGTGTTTTAAGCCTCCCACTTCCCCTACAGAGGACTCGATGTGTGGCTGCCACCGTCGTTCTCTTACTTTTGGATGACCACCGCCAGGTACAAGATAACCCGAACGTCCCACAACACAAATTATATCACCTGAGGTTTACAGATTAGTTAACTCAGGTGGCTGGAAATATTACCAAGCAAAACCAAACATCCATGTTATAGTCATAATTATTTCTTAATTCAGCTTCAGAAATGTCTCACCAAACACCAAAGTTTTCTAGAAATGAATACAGTGGGTACCAAGACAGCAGGACCAATATGAGAACCCACAGGCATTTAGCTCACAGAGGCAAGGAGTGAATTAACATACAGCCATAACATATAAACCCGCAATATTGTTTCTCCAAAAAGATTGAACCTCCTGTCTTGAAGCACCTTACTCTCACTTCTCATTGGTGATTTCTGCTCATTTTTACACATGAAGTTTATGGTAACCCTCCTCTTCTGTTCTGAAATGCCCCCTGACCTAATAGAGATGTTATTTATGTGTCCAGTACAATGAGCTCTGTGACAAAAAAAAAAAAAAATTGCATTTGTAACAATAAGTCTAATTCTCCATTTGCATCTATAGCTCCCTAGAAATCAACAGTATAAACTGCCTATTGGAACTCAATAAAGAATTCTTTATGAAAGAGTTAATAGAAAACTGTGAAACTACCCCGAGGAAGGGCAGCAGTGATGTGGAGATACTCACCTGTCTGAGAGAAGGCCATATATGAGGCTTCCCACCAGCATTCCAGCCATGAATAGGGACTGACCCACTGATTTCTGTGACTGATGCTCACAAATGAGGTCCCACTGGAAGAGAAGGAGACCAGAACAGAGGAGCTTCACAGCTTCTTATATCCCTCAATGAACGGTCACTCACTCTAACAACCCTCAGGGAACACACCCTCTGATTTCCTTGGAACATTTACTCACATACATTACTGAAGCCTCAGCTTAAGCATGGAATCCTCTAAATCCTCGACTAAATCCTCTAAATTCTATCATGACAAGTCATATTCACTTAGTACTGTGTGCCTCACTGGTTCTCAAACTTTGCCACACATTGAAAATATTGAGGGCATTTTTTTTTCATTACTGATGCCTGGATTTTACATATGGGATAAAATGTATTTGGTTTGTTTCTTTGATAAGAATCCAGGTCATGGAATTTTTTAAATTAATATAAATATTTCTGATTTGCACATAGGCTGAGATCATGTGACCAAGAATAATTTTCCACAATTTATATCAAGTACTAACTTGGCTAAACATAAAACTTCACACAAAACTTAAGTTTTGTGATAGTAAAATCCATAACCAGTTTGTTAATTTCAGTGTCCTCAAATTGTAAGTAATTGACAATTTAAAAAAATCAACAATCACTGTTTGCTAAAAGAATGAATGAAAGCTGGCTACCTGAATGTTGAACCTGTGTTTACTTTACATTATTCTAAACACAGAGAACAAGTACCCACAAGAGGTAAATGGGGCCTTTACCTCAGTCACGACGGTGGAGGAGAACAAGCTATGGTCATACACCCAGCCGTCCACACAGGGCTCCGTGTCCAGGTCAGTCATGTTGGGGAAGGTCCCATTCAGGTGAAGGAGCTGCCACTGCGGGTGGAGGAAGCGGCGACACTTCTCTGGCTTCAAGTTTGAATCCAGTGGGATGGAGATTCTCAGGAGG